GCCTGGGGGCCGGCGCCTGCCTCTTCAGGAGCTTCTCTTCTTTGGTCCCCTGACTCTTGCTCTGGCACCCCTTGTCCTGCAGGCCCTGCTGCCAAGACACAACCAGAATCCTCACGTGAAGCGGACTGTAGTGAGGAGGGGACCCTTCAGGCCTGAAGGTGGTGTGCCCTGGAGCTGTTGAGGATCCACGGGGGGCCCATCCCTCACTGTATGGATGGGGACCATGAGGCACGGAGACCAGAAGAAAATGTGCCCAGAGTCTTAGCAAGTCAGTGGCAGTACATGCTCCTGGCGCCCCTCAGTGGCCGGCCCTCTTCACCAGCAAAGAAGATTCTTGGGCACTTAGAAATCCTCAGATGACACTCACTTGGCCGTCCCTGTGGGCTCCATGGGGTATAAGTCACCATAGCAGCAGCCACTCTGCTTCTGGCCCACAGCCTCATTATTCACGGGCAGCTGTCCAGCCCCACCATGCGCACATCAGCCTCAGGGCAACTTTCCCCATGATGTCAGCTGCCGCCACCCACCCATGCCTCCCCTCACTTCCAGACGGCAAGAACTGCTGAAGAGGATGTGGCACAAGTCCATCCAAGTCCAGAAAGGGTGAGTGTTGCGGTTGGGAGGGGTCACAAGACTCCCCTCTCTTGGAATGGAAGGGGCAGAGGCAAAGGAGGGAGAGGCAGAGCAGACAGTGGACAGGCAGGGGCCACAAGGAGGGGGCTAGAAAGAGGCGTTTCTTCTGGAGAAAAATGTCTGCAGCTCACACAGAAAGACATCCAAAGCAAGCAGCATCCAAAGCAAGCAGCGGAACCACATGAAAAGTGTGATTCCATTTGAGGATGATAAAAATAAAATAGGCATAGGAAGAATCTGAAGACCCTATAGAGACAGTGGCTCTGTCTGGAAGGTCAGGATGACAGTGTGTTGGCTGAGAGTAGAAACAGGCGTTATATAGGCTTTTGGGGGAATAACAACTGAGAAAATATGGGAAAAGGGGAAAGGAGGCGTTTACATTTCATTTGACATAACATTCGAACTTTTTGGAGTTTGAACTTCTTAACCTTATGAAAATCTACAGGTTTTTTTTTTTTTCCTTTTTTAAAGTCAACAGAGATTATCCGAGAAGAGCGATAGCACACAGGTTTTTGTGTGTCTTTGTGCCTTCTGCATTCAAAACAAAAAGGCAAATGTTATGTTTAAAAAATGCCCAGAGTCTAGACTCAGGAAAGCCTGGATGTGAAATCGGGCTCTACCTAATGGAAGCTCTGTGACTCTGGGCAAGTTACTACTTTCCCTGAAGCTTCACTCTCCTTGTTCTTAAAATAGAAGCAATAATAGCAGCACCCGCCTCACACAGCTTGTGTGAGAGTAACTGAGGCAACTTAAGCAAAGTATTCAGAAGTGTCGGACACAGAGTTGTTGTTGTGTGCCGTCCAGTCAATTCAGACTCACAGTGACCCTACAGGACAGAGCAGAACAGTCCCATAGGATTTCCTAGACTGTAATCTTTATGGGAGCAGAGCACCAGGTCTTTTCTCTCTCAGAGCCACTGGGTGGGTTTAAACCGCTGACCTTTCGGTTAGCAGTTGAGTGCCTAACTATTGTGCCACCAGGGCTCCAAAGCACATAGTAAGAACTCAATATAAGGTAGCCATTGTCATTATATTAAGGAGCTGTGGTGGCACAACAGTTAAGTGCTTGGCTGCTAATCAAAAGGCTGGCAGTTTGCACATCGTGGGTTGGCAACCAATGTCACAAAACAATTTGTGTATTAATTGTTTAATGAGAAACTAATTTGTTCTGTAAACTTTCACCTAAAGCACAAAAAAACAAACAAACAAAAAACCAAAGATGAGAATGTAAGGGGCCAGGGAAACTAGATTAACAGCAACAGAACAACCAGAACAGAAATAATGAGAATGCTCACACATTACAAAGAATGTAACCAATGTTACTGAACAATTTGTGTAGAAATTATTGAATGGGAACCTAAACTGCTATGCAAACCTTCAACAAAAACATAATAAGACATTATTTAAAAAAAAAAAAAAAAAAGGTTGGTATTTTGAACCCACCCAGTGGTTCCACTGAAGAAAGACCTGGTAAATTGCTCCTGTAAAGATTACAGCCAAGAAAACCCTGTGGGGCAGTTCTACTCTGTCACACGGGGTCGCTATGATTTGAAATTGACTCGACAGCACCTGACAATAACACCATCATTATATTATTTCTGTAACCTTCAAATTTTTTATTTTATGATCAGAAAAGCCAATAAAGAGAATTGAAAAGAAGAGGAAAGCAACGTTGAAAAGAAAAAGAAAGTGGCCAGTTAGCTCACAACCCACTCCCTCCCTCTCTCGACCCCATGTTCTACTTGAAGAGGGAGGATGGTGAGTATACCTCTCATTTTTAGGAAAACTCCTACTGACTTTATTTTGTCCCCATCCTTCGGACCAACTGCCACACCATCACGAGCAGGCTTGTCAGTGGTGGCAGCCAACGGCAGCAGCTGGAAGTTTCCATCTGCCGACCAGAGCAAAGGTTACACTATTTCTGGCCTAGTGGCCAAGCCACACAGGAAGGGCAGACAGGCTCACATGGGGGCTGGTAATTTCTTCAGGGCCTCTGTAGGGAGCCTCTCAGATTTTAACTGCTTGACGAGAGGCACCAAACCTAGCAGGTCTCCTCACTGTGCTCAGGAATAATGTTCACGACCCTAATTCGGCCCCACAGCTACGTCCCTGAACCATCGTAAACATAACCTCGCTTTGCCGAGTGAGGTTAAGAAGGACAGGAGCATGGAGACTGGGAGGTGGCGGGAGCTTCTCAGAGATCCTCTGTAGATCTGCTGATCCCAGAGCTTGGCTGCCACCACAACCAAACACCCCATAATCAAAACTGAAGAACAGAGACACCACCCAACTTGAGGCTGCGGGTTCCTGACTGCCTCCTCCCGATTTAACTACCACTGGCTCCAGCCAGAGAAAACGTGCAACGGATTCTCTAGTTTCTTTAACTGTTCTCTCACCAGACCTGCTTTTCTCGCCGACCTTACAGATCAAAAAGGACTGTTTGGTTTTGTTTTCAGGTAAACCACATGAGAAGGGCTGAGAAACACCCTGAAGCATAAGATGGGCCCTGAAGCAACATCAACTTCTGGGCCCACATCAGAGCAGGTGCTGGGGTCACACACTGTGACCCAGGGCCCTGGGCTTTTGCTGCACCAGAGAGGTCATGCTCAAAGGGCATGCATGCTCCCAACGCTCTGTCCCTGCCCTCCGTCTGCACTTGTCCCTTCAATGCTCTGTGCAAATGTGGCTTCTAGAAAGGGCAGGGTCTGTTTATGTGGACTTCACGAGAGTGTGAGGGAACAGTGGATACTCCCTCTCATGCCCAGCCTTTCTGGAAGGGGGCTTGGCAACACCCCCCAGGTAACTCTGGTACTTCCCTCTCTGTCACTGTACCTATGGCCCTGCCACAGTTTGTATTTATACGTTCATGATTATCTGATTACTCTCTGGCGCCTCCTGTAGACTGTAAGGTCTATTTCTGTTCTTTACCGTATCCCAGCACCTAGCACAGCACAGAGTAGGCACTTCATAAATATCTGTTGAATGAGTTAATTGAAAACATGCAGAGCCTCTAACCCAGTGATTCTTCTTTTAGAATATAATGCCCTGCAAATACTCAAAGCTGTGGTTGCATGAGTGCACAGATATTTAAGGAGGTTCACTGCAGTCAGAAACTATACAGAGAATCTGGTAGATCATTTACAATAAAACCTGCAGTAGCATGTTATGTAACTGTTTAAAAAGAATCAGACAGGTCTCTATATACCGACATGCATCAAAGCATCACCAAGATTTACTGCCGAGGGAAAGACCTAGCTGTGGAATAGTATATAAAAATAAATCATAAAAATTGTACAAATAAATATAATTAGGTGGTTGTATAGAAATGAAAGAAGCCCTGGTGGCTCAGTGGTTAAGAACTCAGCTGCTTACCAAAAGATCGGCAGTTCAAATCCACCAGCCGTTCCTTGGAAACACTATGGGGCAGTTCTACTCTGTCCTATAGGGTCGACTCAATGGCAACAGGTTATAAGAATAAAAGAGGTCTGAATAGAAAAAGACCAAACTCTTCAGAGCAGATGTTTCAGAGATTCTACTACAGGAAGCATTCTGTTTCTAGGTGTCACATCTCTGCCTGTGTGAATTCTTTACACCATGTAAAGCTAGTCACGTTTAGTGGTTCACATCCCAGCTTGCCTTGTGACCAGCAGCAAGTTACTTAACCTCTCATCCTCCATGGCCTCATATATAACTCTCAGATAACAACAGTGTTTCGAGACTGGTATGAAGATAGATCCTGCATAGAGGGCCACAGGCCCAGTAAGCATTCAATAAATAGTAGTTATTATTTCTGTCATCATTATGTACAATTTCTACAAACAATATTCTATGTATATTTTCTATAAAAATACATACATATTTGCATATATATACACATCTATGTAAAGTTTGTCTTTTTAAAATCACTTGGTGATAACTGCAAGGGAAAAGAGCACCCACGTTTTGGTGAAACCCCCTGTCTAGCATTGGATTCTCACTTAAAACGAGGGAATACAAGTGATTCTGCCACAGACTCAGGACCACATGCCCGAGTGCGAATGAACAGAGACTCCAAACCCAATCTCCTTCTCCAACATCTTCTCAGCGAAGGTTCCACACTTCCCCGTCACACCTCAGCCAGGGTGTGGCTGAAAAGCCTGTCACCTCCCTTGAGATACTCCCTGAGATAATAAAGCAAATTGCTCCATGGTGCAGGCTCCCGGGTGCATGCGCTGCAAGGAGCTTGGCAAAGAGGCGTGAGGCAGGTCCACACTCTCCCTCCGTGCGCCCTCCCCGGAGGAGTCTGTCGGGGACCCAGCCACTGAAGCTCGGAGGGCCAAGACCCACTCGGCTCCACCCCTGCGCGTTTCACGAGGCCCCAGGGCTTACCTGCACGGCCAGGTACAGCCTGTGGGGGCTCCCAGGGCCAGCCCAGTCCACACTGAGGGCTCGGCACTGAGCTAGGGCAGGGCGAGCAGCACTTCGGGCACTGGAGTCCTCGTCACAGCCGGCCGGGGTATCTTTTCCACGCCCTGTCCCGGGACAGAGAGTAAGGTGAGACACGCAGACCACGGGCACGGACCACTGGCCAGGGCCACAGCTGAGCTCAGCTTTCACCCGCCCCCTTCCCCCCCCCACAGACTGGCCCAGGTGTGGCCAGGCGGGATACACACCCTCTCACACGCCTGCTCACCCTGAGCAGAGGGGAAGGGCTGGCTTGGGCAGGGGCTTTGCTCCCTTCTTCCCTAAAGATTCCCTGCAGGAGGACTCCCCTCACCCCCACAGCCGCTTAGGAGCTGGCACCTGCTCACTAGCACCCTCTAGAGGTGCAATGGTTAAGCGCCTGGCTGCTAACTAAAAGGTTGGTGGTTTGAACCCACCCAGCGGCTCTGCGGGAGAAAGACCTGGCAATCTGCTTCTGTAAAGATCACAACCTAGAAAACCCTATGGAGTAGTTCTCTCTGTCACATGACGTCGCTATGAGTCGGTATCAACTCGACAGCATCTAACAACAACAGAGAGAGCAGCAGAGGGAGCCAACGCCAACCTGGCTGAGCAAAGCTTCCGGGAGGTGCGCCGCCTCCGCTTTATTTCCCAGGCCACCTCTAGGTGGCAATTTCTTCCCTGCCTTCATTCAGCCCACACTGGGTGGCCTGGTCCCCACAGTCTCCAAAAGCATATTCGGGATCAGCTGAAGCACATACCCACGTGCCTCCGACACATTGCCTCCCTCACCTGACTGGGGGGGAAAGGGGGCGCGCTGACTGTGGCTTCAATGCCCCCAACCCTGCCCACCTCCCCCACTGCAGGCACAGCCCAGGCAGCCCCAGCTCGGCCTGTAGAGCAGGGGGAGGTGGGGGAGGGGCTCACCTCTCACAAGTTTCAGAGCCACCACCCTGGGACATAAGTCCCCAGGCCAAGTGCTTTCCACTCCTTTTCACTCTCCTTGACCCTGTTTCCTCATCAAAACAGAGATAACAACCAACTTCACAGCCCTGATGCGAGGATTAAACAGATGAGACACATGAAATGCTCACACAGAGCCAGGCACAGAAAGTGCCCACAAGGACAGTCTTTAGGGCCACGATTGCCATCAGCTCTTCACAACCACCCCAACGGGTGGGGAGCATTCTCCCCGTCTGACATGCTAGGAACCGGGAACCCAGAATAATGTGCCCGGGGGTCACACGGAGCCAGTATTCAAATCCCACATGCAAACCGACCCTCAGGGCTCACAAGAGGAGTGGTGGGGTCGAAGGGCCCCCCCGGGGCAGCGAAATGCTGAGCGTCTCCCCCGTGGCAGGCACTACACTTGGCATTTCACACACAGGATCTCATTTGACCCTCGTCTTAAATTTTTTAAATGGAAAAATTTTTTAAATGGATAAAAGTCATATGATTCTCATAATACTCGGTTACTAGATCTACATGAATACACACAACGGACTGGAAGGAGCTCTATAAAATATTCACTGACAGGCTTTTAGGGGATTTTTATTTTCTTCTTTATACTTTTCTGTGAATTTTAAGTTTTCCAAGGGAACATGGTTCTGGTTTGGGGGGTTTGATCTGTTTGGTTTTTTTACCAGAAAAGAAAAACTCATCCATATTACATATATAATCCTTAGGACAACCTTTACTGTGGGGACCATCTTCAGCCCCTTCCAGACAACTGAGGCTACCTGACCCAAAGCCCAAACATCCCCACCCTAGAGGGCCCTGGGGTCATACCCAGGGAACCACAGAAGCAGCCCCGTGCAGAGATAGCTTGGAAGACATCCCACTCAGGTGACACCGATAGCTCCAATGTGGCGGGGGGTTGGGGGTGGCGAGGACTGAAGAGGAGTTTCCCCTTCTGTACATCAAGGGGTTTGGAGGGACTCTGCCAGCTCAGACAGGCTCCAGTCTACCCTAAACACCTAAAGGCACCTTGCCCGGACACCCTTTTCTCCTCCCACAAGTCCAAGCTAGCTCCAGAGAAGGGTCATGGGCAGCCCTCCAGCCCAACAATCCCGCCCCCACCTGGTATCAGAGGAGTCGCTCACATCTTGACGTTCGTGGCACCGGGGGACATGACCCAGAAAGGCGAGCTGGTAGGTCAGCTCCCCAAGGGAAGCGGCCGGAGCCCAGACTCCAGGACCCCCTCACTGCCCACCTGTTGCCAAGGTTTCTGCGGAAGCCACCCTGGCTGGCTCCCAAGCCCTAGCGCGTGGCATCCCAGCCCCGCCAGGCTGCGCTCCGGAGCGGCCTGAGTCTATTCCTCGCACCAGCCACGGGACGAGCCCAGGCGGGATCAAGTGTCAGCGCCAGGCAGGGCGCTGCGGTGGCCACTTCACCTACCTTGTTTACAAGGCACGCAGATGCCGGAGCGAGACCACGAGCTCTCCAGCTCTCCAGCCAAGGGAAACCGGGAACGGAGTCTGTGGCAGCCTGGCTCAGTCAGAGATAGTGTGGCGGTTGGGGATGTTTTTCTCCTGCTCTACAGACTGTGTTAAAGTTTAACTCGACTTCCGAGGCTTCTTCTTACAGACAGGGGCACCCGCCCCAAGGAGTGCCCAGAGATTGACGCTCTGCTTCACGCCCGGGTGCTCGGCCTGCCTGTTACCCTGTAATACCTGACAGCTCTGACTGAGTTTAGGAACTGGCGAGAAACCTCAGTCTCATCTCTGGTATCTGGAGGAAGGAAGGGAAATAAAGAGGCATTTCAAAAATGCGGACTCACCAGTTCTCAACCTCCCTGGGCCGGTGTGCGGGAAAGGGCGGGCGGCTGGGCTGGCTGGGGCGGGGCGGGCCATCCCTGGCTCAGGCTCCGGGGCCCGGCCCACTCTCCACAGGCCCCGCAGTGAGGGCGTGGCTCCCAGGTTCCACGTCCTGCGAGATGGGACCATGGCCCGGGGCTCAGCAGCCTCCTCTGGGCGCCAGGCGGCCTCGATGGCCTGTGGGGAGAACAGGGGAGATGGGCATGATGACTGCTGGCCGGAATCCCGGGACGGAGGCAGGCCACCTGAAGGGTCACCTGTCACCCAGAACCCAAAACGCTAATGGCCCCCAAGGACCCGGCTTGAGAGACCAAACGGGCCTGTCACTGTTTCAGGGGTGTTTGTTACTGAGTAGGAGTTCCTGAGTTGCGCAAATAGTTAAGTGCTTGCCAAAAGGGTGGCAGTTCGAGTCCACCCAGAAGCACCTCAGAAGAAAGGCCTGGCGATCTACTTCTGAAAAATCAGCTACTGAAAACCCTAGGGAGTGCAGTTCTACTTTGACACACATGTGGTCGCCCTGAGTCAGAATCGACTCGTTCGCAATGGTTTGGTTTTCTTGTGTCGTGTTCTTACTCAGCAGGAGGTACAGAAGGGGCAAGGAGCCCATCACGTGTGTCTGCAGCCCACTGTGGAGACTCCCTGTCTCAGCCCTGCCACCCTGAGCCTGGCACATTTCATGCCAGGTCACAGCCCCAGGTGAAAAAAACACAAGTCAACAGAATCTTTAGGAATCTAATCCTTTTCCCTCAAAACAATCTGCTTTTCTGATTGCATTAGCAGGAGTGAGTAGCCCATAAGCTTCAAGCTCCTTTGTCGTCCAACCAGCTAATGCTCTGAATATCAACATTTCACTGAGCAGGGGCTCAGATGGTGGTCAGTGACAGTTTCAGCTGCCCAGTTACTAAATTAGGTGTACAGATATCAAATTCTCTTAAAGTCAGCTCGTTAATCTATTCAGCTAGGCTTCACTCTGTCTACAACGTGGCAGGCACTGTGCTAGGTGTTAGGATGCAAAGATTCATTCATTCTTCATTTAATAATTATTTGTCAAGTGTCTACTACGTGCCAGGGGTCCTCTCTGATCAGGCGAGACATGGCCTCCAAGCTCCTGATAGATGGGAGGGAGATAAATACTTCAACAAACCTTCACAATCCGAACAGGATACAGGTGAGGCTGGAGGTACTCACCTGGTGTTATGGGAAAATGGGGAACGGGATGCGGAGCACTGTTTGGGGAAGGAAAGCCCATAGGTCTCTTAGGAACTGAGCAAAAGAACAGAACAGAGTTCAAGCATTCACTGCACAAGTCTTTATTGAGCACCTACTGTGTGCAAAGCAGTCTTGACTGCATTTAAGGTAACCGACCTACAGTCTCACACTCCCACCAAGCAGAGATGCCATTTACAGAAGGGAAGTCAGCTCAGAGGGGGCAATGTGGAGTTTGCTTTTGGTTTTAAACTTGAGTCTGAGGCACCCGAGGGGCTTCCTAGTGGAGCTACCTGGGCTGTAGAAACCACTTTCCCCATCCTTTACTGCACTGCCCCTCTCTACCAAGCAGTGTAGTCATTGTTGTTGTTAGCTGCCTTCATGTCAGGACCCCCGACTTATGGAGACTCCATGTACAACGGAGCGAAACGCTGCCCGGTCCTCCGCCATCTCCATGATCGATTGTGGATGGGACTGTTGTGATCCACAGGATTTTCACTGGCTGATTTTCAGAAGCAGATCACCAGCCCTTCTTCCCAGTCTGTCTTAGTCTGGAAGCTCCGCTGAAACCTGTTCAGTATCATAGCAACACATAAACTTCCACTGACAGATGGGTGGTGGCTGTGCTTGAGACGCACTGGCCAGGAATCAAACTCAGGTCTCCAGTATAGAGGGTGAGAATTCTACCACTAAGCCACCACTGCCTTCCACCAAACAGTGAAGACATCTATTTGAATGGCGTCCACCTTCTCTGACAGACTAGGGCTTGCACAGGGTGGGACCACAGCCGTTCATCCTTGCAGCCCCCACAGTCCCCACCCTGGGGCTGCATCCAACACCAAGCGCTCTGCAGTAGCTTGTTGGGTGAACACCCTGAAACAAGCACACACAAAGGCTCAGAAGAGATCAGGGCTGGAGGTCGAGACTCAGGGCTGGGAGGCTAATGAGGGTCCCTGATGCCACCAGTACATGCAAAAGGTATGCAAGAGGAGAGAGAACCAGGAGAGGGCAGAGCTCTCTCCTGGGGTGGGGAGGGCATGAAAGCCAGAGAAGGCTGACCGGAGAGGTGGCAGAGGGCAAACAAGTGCAGAGTCCTTGGAATTATCGGAAAGAGAATGGGAAGGAAAGGACGCCAGATCCCAGTGAACCAGGCCACAGGGACATCAGACTGGAAGGAAACTGAGACAGGCAGAGAGACCCTGGGGGCTCTTTAAGGGAGCCTGTCGATGGAAGAGGGCAGGGGGCAGACCTGGGAAGGCTCAGCAGTGGGGTGGGAGCTAGAGGAAGCAGCTACTTCCCTCTCTCGGGAAGTCTGGCTAACAGGGGAAGGACAGGATAAATTAAGAAGCCACGGTTTTTAGAACGGGGGAGATCTGAGCATGTTGGGTAGACAGAGGGACAAGAATGACGGAAGCATGGAGAGGGGAAGACAGTAAGAGGGCAGGGTGGGAGGCACGAAGACCTAGTACCTGATGTTTGCATAGGTGAGCCCCAGATAGCCAGGCTCCAGGTGAAGGGACAACTTGGAGGAGGAGGCTCCTGGGTGCAGTGTCACCAGGAAGGGGCAGGAGTGTGGGTCACAGGACAGGGCAGAGGCAAATCCAAATATGTGGGCTGGCAACACTGAGGAAACAGATGGACTAGTGTTGAGATGTGATGAAACCCATGTGAAATTGTTCACTACAGGTTAGTAAGCAAGCACAAGTAAGCCTGTGCTTACCTTACTTACTGGGTCATCTGCCCCGCCAAGGATTGTAAATTGGAAAAGAGGCTTTGATTCTGTAGGAAGGTGCTGTGGGGTTGGGAGAAAGACAGATGCCAGCCATACCTAGAAGCAGAATCTTTGATGTGGTGAAAAAATGTGAAATTGTTCACCACAGATGATCTGGTAAGCAAAGTAAGCACCACGCACGCTTACCTTGCCTATTGGATCATCCGCCCCTGGAAAGGGAAGAAACCAAGGGGAGCGGTCAAATGTCCTCTTCTCCAGGCTGTTTGGCACGGGCAAACAACCAACACTGCAGACCAGCTGTCCAGTGGGCAAGGAGGGAGAGAGGTGGGCTCCACCTGCGAGCCGAGCTGCTGCAAGGTGAGGTGGTGCAGGGCACTGCTGGTCGAGTGCACGGTACAGGGAGAAGACGTTTAAGGAAATCAGCTAGATCTAAGGGGCAGGGGCAGGAGGAGACAATATTTCTGTGGCTTTCAGGAAGGAAAGTCGGGTAGGCAGCCAGGAAGATGTCAGGAAGAAAGAGGAAGGGTGTGTACGAGATTCCAAAGAGGAAAACGCAGCTGAATTTAGCAGCGAGAGGGGCATGGGGAGTCAGGAGTATCAAGGAATTTCAAATAAGCCGATGGTTCTGGGCCCAAAAGAGGCACCCTCTCTCCTCTCACTTGCATGGACATTCCATAACCCACCTGGCATCCAGGGCCTCTACCAACCCAGGATGGGGAGGGAGGGTTACATGGAGGAGACGTTATGACCAAAAGCTGGTTCAGAACCTGGCTCTGCCACTTACTAGATGTGTGACCTTGAGAGAATTACTTTGCCTCTCTGCGCCTCATTATCCCCATCTGCAAAATGGGAAGAACTCCATCTTATAAGGGTGTAAAGATTAGGTAACGCACATATAGTCTTCAGAACAATACTGGCATATACAAGGAGTTCAAAAATCTTATTTTTCAGTAACCACCCTCTAGTGGTGGGTGAATGCAGAGGAGACAGCTGGAGGAAGGGGACACCTACTTTCCCAGGTTTAGGCCAGGTAGCACAGCTGCAGGGTCAAAGGTTCTCTCCTCCCCACCCCCGACCAGGGGCATTTCAATGATTGAGGGACAGATTTTGCAACTGCCCAGGGACTGCTGCCGGGGAGGGCTTGGTCACCCTGGGAGAGCGAGCAGAAGGTCAGGGAGGCTGTACAGGGGCTGGGATCTCCCCTGCACAGAGCCACACATCTGGGTTTTTCAGGACAACCCGGATTTTAAAATTCTCTGCTCCCTTGTGGCCTTAAGGACAGCAGAATTCAGCACCCTGCATCCTAAGGTCCAATCATTGCAAATACAGGGCCCCATCCTGAGGCTGCATTCCTGGCAAATGACTCTCCGCTGGCCAAGGAGATGGCTACCTTATCAAGGGCATGGGGAATAGCCTGGGCAAGGATGGGTGCTCCCCCAACCTTAGGCTGAGGGAAAGCCAGAGACGGGAAAGGGCCAGAGGTGGCCACAACCTTCAGCCTTGAGACAGATGTGTTCACGGTGGGGGCAACCATTAAATATACCTTCCTCTCAACAATCTCCCAGGACCAGGCCTGAGTTCGGCTCTAACTCGCAATAAGGGGCTGAAGGGGGTGGCTTCTGGGCTTCCCCTCCCTGCTGGGACCTCTAGCCTGCCGCTGGCAATGGCGTGATTACCCACTGCCCAGCAGGGCACCGGCCGAGACCCTCTTTCCTGAACCAGGGGCTAGCGCACCCCACCCCGGCCCTGCCAGAGGGAAAGCAAATTGCCCAAGGGACGTGGTGGGAGGGCCCGAAACTGCAGCCTTCAAGGGGGGGGGGGCAGCGCTGATTGACATCTGTCTCCACGGTAGGGTCCGCGCTCTCCCAGGCCAATGGAAACGGAACCGGGGTCCCGAGGCTGCTCTGATCCCAGGGAACGTGCTGCTCCCGTGCCCAGCTCGGGGCAAGATCATCAGCTCAGGTTGGATGGCGCCAAAAGACCGCATAGGGCTAGGTCTCCGGGGCCAGGCCCTCCCCCGCGCCCCCAGCGGGTCCGGACACTGGGGTCCCGCGGTCAGGGCCAGCCCGGACACAGCGCCCCGAACGGCAGGCCGGGTGGAGCCCGAGCGCCCAGCCCGCCCGCAGCCCGCTCGGGCCTCCGACTCACCGGCCTGGCGGAGGCAGGATCCCGGCGTCGCCTCAGCGCCTGGGGCTCGACCCGGCCCGGCCCGCCGGCTGGTGGCAGCTCCACGCTGCCGCCGCCTCCTCCTCGGTCCGCCCTGCTCCGCCCCGCTCCCGCCCCTCCCGCACACTTTCCACAGGAAATGATTAACTCCGGCCGCTGCGGGTTCCCATGGCAACTGGCTTCGACCCCGGCGGGGGGCGGTGGCGCGCGCGCGCGCACTCATGCACAAGCGCCGGCCCGGGCGCGCGCCCACGTGCACTCACACGCGAGGCCTCCCACCCTGCAGCCTCAAGCGCTTCACCCCAACGCGCCCACGCGGTCTCTGCCGCCTTCTGCGCCCTGCACACGCTGGTGCACACATACCTTCACAAGAGCTCACACTTTCGCGCACAGTGTCTTTCACACACTCTGATACGCGTATTCTTTCACACTACTACACATGCTTTCACGCCCACTCTCACTGTAGTTAATACACACAAGCACACATTCACAGGTCTTACACATATTCACACGCTAGGTAATACACGGTTTCCAAGGCTCGGCTGCTAACCAAAAGGTCAGCAGTTCGAATCCACCTATGGGGCAGTTCTACTCTGTCCTGTGGGATCGCTATGACTCGGAATCGACTGGACGGCAACGGGTTTAGTTGTTACACACATGCTTTTGCACACACGCTTTCACATACGTTTATACTTCAGTACACACATCCTCAAACCCTAGTAGAAAGCTTTTGTACACTCTGTAGTTAGTGCTCATACACACTTTCACATCTGCTCACATACTTTCCATCACAAACTAGTACACATGCTTTCTTCCCATTCTAGTACATACACTTCCACACATGCTCTTACACACTCTAGTTAGTACACACAGCGTCACACATTCTCATGAGTGCACTCACACGTATACAAGCACAGCACTTTCACGCATGCTCTCACACGATTTCCCACAGATGTTCTCACACACTCTAGTTAGTGAACACATACCTTCCCATGCTTACACACATGTTCTTTCACGCGCTAGTAGACACATTCTTTTAAACCCCAGTACACACACTTTCAGAGTCTCTGGGTGATGCAAACGGTTAAGTGCTCCACTATTAGCAGAAAGGTTGGCGGTTCAAACCCACCCAGAGGCACCTCGGAAGACAGGCCTGGCCATCTGTTTCCGAAAGGTACATCCTTGAAAACCCTGCAGAGCAGTTCTCCTCTGCACACATGGGGTCACCACGAGTAGGCATTGACTTGACGACAACAAACAACACATACTTTTATGCATGCTCTCATACACTCTAGTTAGCACACACATGTTCTCACACATACTTTCACACACGTGCCCTCACTCACTCTAGTACGCACACATAGGCCAGGCTGCCTCCCCAGTCACAGCAAACCTCCATCCCCACCCCCCCAGCAGATTAACATCTTCCAGAGTAGGGAAGCATTGGGGGTTTTTAAGGTAAAATATTCCTTTAAGCTCCAGTGAAAACATGTGCAGCCCCGGGAGTAGGCAGAGGCTCCCAGCCTAGCCCCAGACGTCCCCTAGCCCCCAGCCTTGCCTCCGCATGGGGCCTGGGGGGAGGCCAGGGGCCAGCCAGCCAGGAGAGACAGCTGACCTGGAGGAGCTACTCTGTTCTTTGTCTCCCAAACAGAGGCAGCATTTTATTCCACAGTCAGCAGCGCTATTCCCCCTTCAGGGTGCAGAAGAAGGAGAAAGAAAGAAGCTCAGAAGCCAGCCCAGCACAGGCTGATGGTTCCACAGATAATCCGAGAAGGGTGGGCCCTCTGCCCCATCCTGCTTGGCAGAGGATGGCTCTGGAGGAGCAAGGAGGGGGTCGTGCAGCTCCAGTCTCCTGCTGCTACCAGGGCCATGGGCTAAAGGTCAGGAAGCTTGACCAGAGACAGAGCTGAGGGCCTGGGCTGCCAGATGGGGTCACTCACAGCCCCTCTCCCCTCTGCTGGAGGTGGGCTAGTGTGTATTTTATTTTCTAACTGGGATACCCAAGTGAGGGCCCAGTAGAGGATAAATGTCACTCTCCTGGAGTGCTCTCTGGAGAGTTAGACCTTTCCAGCTAAGAGCCGCGGAGAACCTTCCCAATGGGGGAGGCCTTATTTTGAGAGTATCCCCTGTCTGCCCTCCAGACAGCAGTGGTCAATGGGGCTGCAAGGTTAGATGAGGATGAAATCTCTCTAGATTTCTGAGCAAGTATCTCCCTCTAGTATAAACCCATTGCTGTCGAATCAATTCCAACTCATAGCGACCCTGTAGGACAGAGCAGATCTGCCCCATAGGGTTTCCAGGGCTGTAAATCTTTACGGAAGCAGACTGCCACATCTTTCTCCTGTGGAGTGGCTGGTGGGTTCCAACCACCAATCTTTTGGATAGCAGCATAGCACTTTAACCACTGCGCCACCTAGGCTCCTCCCTCTATTGTAATCCCTATTATATGATTGGTGGTGGCAGGCAGGGGCTGTCTTTAAAGTCCTGGTAGAAAACCGGGGGTCTTGTCTTACTTGTGGGTTGGCACATTGACATTAACTGCAGGTTCTTTCCGACAAAGCCAAAGCCAAATTTTTTTAAATTAATAATAACATTGATTGTTCTTTATCTCTGATTACAAGAGTAATAGATGTTCATTGTAGTCATAATCCACCCACTAGAGATAAATGCTGCTAACATTTTAATACAGTCTTTTTTTTCTCTATGCACATAATAGCTACCATTTATTCAAGGCTAACGCTGTGCCAGGCACTGCACTAAACTCTTTATAAACAAGATCCCATTTAACTCTGAGTACCCTATGAGGTGGGCAGCACCATATCCCCATTTTGCAGGAGAGGAAACTGAGCCTCAGAGAGGTTAATTCACAAAGCCAGTGAGTGATAGAGCTAAGATACGAACTGAGGTAGGGTATCCACACGCACACACACACAGACATATATCACTGACACCCTGGGTGGCTCAAACAAGGACTAACCAAGGTTGGCGGTTCAAACCGACGCAGCAGCATCATGAAAGAAAGGCCTGGCAATCTGCTTCTGTAAAGATTTCAGCCAAGGGAACTCGATGGAGCCCTTCTACTCTGTAACACATGGGGTGGCCATGAGTCTAAATTGACTCACTGGCAATGAGTTTATAAGAGTTTACTAAGATCAAAGCACCAGTAAAGGAAAAAGAAAACTGAGGCATTAGAGGAGGCATGTTCTGACTCTAGCAAATACGACTCTGACGTGAAATATAAAAACAAATTGTTTCATGATTGCTGGAATTTTTAAAAATAATGTTCAGTGTCACCAAGAACTGCATACCAAATCCAAGGTCATTTCTATCCCAGAATTTCATTGATGGTTTGGTGTGAAGGCTGCCAAATCTCCCCTGGGCACAGAGGAGGCCAAGGATTTCGCAGAAACTTGTCCATCCCGATGTGAAATTAAGAACCTATGAATGAGACTCTTGGGTTCTGCCCTTGGCCTTGACCCTCCCTGCCCACAGTTGTCTCAGGGAGGGCCAGACGAAAGGGCAGTGGCAAGAACACTCCATACCCACGTCCACCTTGTTGCCCATGCATGGATCAGTACTTCTCCCCAGAGGGAAGCCAAGAGAAAGAAATGAAAAGCCAGTTTGTGTTTGATCTGATTCTCATAGTAACCCAGAGTAAAGCACAGATAAGGTTTACACGATTTTTCCAGTTTTAATGATTGAACTTGAGATTCGATGACCTCCAAACCCGTTGCTGTCAAGTCAATTCTGACTCAAGGCAAACGTATGTGTGACAGAGTAGAACTGCTCTATAGGGTTTTCTTGGCTACTGTCTTTACAGAGGAGCCCTGGTGGTGCAGTGGTTAAGAGCTTGGCTGCTAACCAAAAGGTTGGCAATTTGAATCTACCAGCTGCTCCTTGGAAAAACCCTATGGGGTAGTTCTACTCCGTCCCATAGGGTCACTATGCGTTGGAACTGACTTAACGGCAATGGGTTTGGTTTTTTGGTTTTTATCTTTACAGAAGCAGATCGCCAGGCCTTTCTTCCATGGTACCACTGGGTGGGTCCAAACCACCAACCTTTAGGTTAGCAGCTGACTGTAAATCACTTGTGCCACCCAGGGACTTTTAATTACTTCCAGTTAAAGCTGTAGAATGGATTCTGACTCATAGCAACATTATAGGACAGAATAGATTATTTCCGGGCCTTTGCAGATGCTGTTCTCCCTGCCCAGAAGGCCTCTCTCCTTTGCCCCACTGCTTCACCAACCTTTACTTGGCCAATTCCTGCTTGTGCTTCCAATCTTTCATGCTTAGAGAGCACCTTCCTTCACCTTCCCAGACCTGGTCAGGTAGGCTCCTCTGGGCTCTCACTGTCCCCTGACCACTTGACCCCCTGCAGCACTCCTCACACTGCATTGTAACGGCCTCTCCCATCTACACAATGAGGCAGGGCCTATTCCTGACTTGATCCCAGAAGTGCCTCTGCAGTGCCTAGCTCCCGGCCTGGAATCACATAAGTTTCTGATGAATCAGTAAATAGACCATGTAGCATTCAGAGAGGAAGCACAGGGGGTATTAAACGTATCAGAAGAGACTTTCCTCCTGTATAAATTAATGATGTTGTTGTTAGATGTCGTTGAGGCAATTCCAACTTATAAGGACCCCATGTGACAGAATAGAACTGCCTCATAGGGTTTTCTAGGCTGTAATCTTTACAGGTGAAACCCTGGTTGCGTAGTGGTTAAGCGCTATGGCTGCTAACCAAAAGCTCAGCAGTTTGAATCCACCAGGCACTCCTTGGAAACCCTCTGGGGCAGTTCTACGCTGTCCTGTAGGGTCACTATGAGTTGGAATCAACTTGACAGCGATGGGTTTGATTTGGGTTTTTTTTTGGCTTTTTAATCTTTATGGGAACAGATCGCCAAGTCTTTCTCCCACGGAGCCACTGGGTGCGTTCAAACTGCTAATCTTTTGGTTAGCAGCCGAGGGCTTAACCATTGCACTACCAGAGCTCCTTTTTAAAGTACCTAGATGAGGAAAAAGAAAAAAAAAGTGAGTCAGAGTAGAACTATGCTCTACAAGGTTTTCAATGGCTGACTTTTCCGAAGTAGTTTGCCAGGCCTTTCTTTCAAAGTATGTAGATGGTGGCCGCCTTCCTGCACTTGC